CACTTATAATTAAGATTGCATAAACTAGATTCAAATTTTTGAAAAATAAAATTCGAGTTCTTAAAATTTTATCAAATATCAAATTCAGGGTTCAAAGTGCAAAATCTTTAAATAACAGAACTATTCATTCAAAATTTTGTCAAATTTTTTTTCAAATCATGTTAGAAAAGTAAAATACTTTATCTAAGTAATTCAGTAACTTTTGTGAAAATTTTTTGAGTCAATTCTAAAAGTTTGTCAAATGGTTGCAAACAACTTTCCTTCGCAATACTTTTGCAAAACATCAAGATAAAAATTTTTCCAATAAAATGAAAATTTAAACTCAAAAAATTTCTAGAGAAACCCAAGTAACTTCATTAGAAATCAAAATGCAAAGCAATTAAACAAAACCAGGTGTTTTGTGTAAAAATCCCAATCAGACATCTGGCTCATTGAACCAGATGTCTGATGTTAGGTTTAAAATGACACTGAGACTGCTCTAATCAACAATCAGACATCTCTATCCTATTCAAAACTACTTTCTAAAGATTCCTAAGTCTCCAAATCATTCCCCAACTGAAATTTTATTGATTCCTAGCCTATTTTAGAGTTTTGCACCCTTCTATTCTCTCTAACAATCCTAACTGAAACCCTAGCTTCAAATTTTCCCCAAATCTCTTCCTCTTTGCACACAATATCTTCTCAATCAAAGGTGGCTCTAAAGAGACCTAAGCCTTCCTCTTCTGTGAGTAATGACTCTACTAGAAAGGCTCATACTAGTACGATTGATCACTTCATCGACGATAAGGCTTTGAAATTATATGAGAGATTGGTGACCAAAATGCTATCGTCAGGTTATAGTATGGATTTTCATACTATCGATATTAGGTCTGAGCTCTATGGTGTTTTTTATCATCAAAAGCGGATACATTTTGTGAAAATGGAGGTTTAAATATTTCCCAAAGCTATGCATTGACAACATTTACAATGTATGGTTGGTGACTCCTGTGTACCAATGGAAATATGATACGGGTGTATCTTCTCTTCGGAATTTAGTGATCCTCATCGAAGCTTGAGGATAGATGATTCTCATGGTAGCTTGAGAATAGAGGTGAAAAACAGCACAGTGGAACGCAGGTTGAAGCGTGGAACGAGACGGCGAATCGAAGAATCGAAGCATCTAGTTTTTAGCCCGTGAGTCGACTCATAACAGTCATGAGTCGACTCATCAGGTTGAGTCGACTCATGCATGTCATAAGTCGACTCACGAAACCCAGCCGTTTGTCACCAGTCTCTGACGAGTCGACTCATCTCAGTCATGAGTCGACTCATTGCTGGTTTTGTGTTTTGTCCAGTTTTAGACGAGTTGACACATCTCAGTCGTGAGTCGACTCATCGAAGGTTTCCTAGTTCGTTTGGGTTTCTGTTTGCACGAATTCCTATTGGGTTTGGGCTTGGTTATTTACCACTTTACCATCCACGTTGTTATACCTATATAATGGATTGTTTTGGGTTTCTAATCAATCAGATATAATCAGAGTGAGATTCTAATCAAGAGAGATTAGGGTTTAGAGAGAATTGAGAGCTTGTTCTCGATTCTAGTGAGATTGTGAGAGAGAGATTATAATATTTTCAGATTCATAATCTGGAGAGGGTATTTTCCTTCGCCACATACTGAATTGTTCTTATGTTTTTGTCATCCTCTTCTCAACCCACCTTTGATAATTCTACGATCAAAGGTGCTCGCACGGCGACTCGTATCAAGTTGGTATTAGAGCAATCAGATCCTGTGTATGGTCCTGACTCGATCGTAATACAAGAAGCTAGGCGAGATACTTATTTCATTGGAAGGAGTCCAGGTTTTAAGGAAGAAGAAGATGGCTGAAGGAGACAATTTAGCGAGGATTGATGCATTAGAGAAGCAGATCGAGACGATAGGGTCTACTCTCACACAACTCGTCAGTCTTATCCATGGAGGTGATAAACAAAGTGAATCTTCTTCAAAGTCCAAGAAGAAAATTGTGGAGTCCGATGTGGAGAGAGTGGATTCAGATCCCGACGAGGAGGAGGAGGTCGTTAAGGCTGCGTTGCATCAAGGGGGTAAGAATTCTTACCAGAACCTGAAGATTGACTTCAAGGTGGAGATTCATGTTTATGATGGGAGTGTCAATGTGGAGAAACTCGATGATTGGATCGAACGTATGGAGATGTATTTCACTCTCTACGGATATTCGTCCAAAAAGAAGATTGTGTTCGCGACTTTGAAGCTTTCAGGGCACGCATTAACGTGGTGAAAATCCTACTGCAAGCAGGAGAAGAAGGCGGTGTCGTGGAACAAGTTCAAGGAGTTACTGAGGAAGCAGTTCTACCCGGTGGGATTCCTTGAGGAGAGTTAGTACAAGTGGTACGGCTTACGCCAAATGGTCAATCAAACCGTTCAAGAATACACCACGGAGTTCCAACAGCAGACGATGGTTCTTAACATTGTGACGGAGGAATATTCTATGTTTATGAAGTATATGGCGGGTTTGAGTGATTACATCCGGAAGGAGATGAAGTTATTCACGGTCGAGATTATTGCAGAGGTGAGCGTGAAGGCTATTACTATTAAGGGCAAGCAGAAGAAGGGCAATGAGACTTAGGGAGACTCCAAACAGACGGGAGGCGAGTCTAGTGGTTCCAAACATAAGGAGGAGAAGAAGGGTGATCCATGGAAAGCAGAACTGATTTGTAGTCACTATGAGAAGACATGGCATGTTGCCGATCGGTGCTGGGAGAAGTATCCTCATCTCAAGCCAAGAGGATTGAAGAAGAAGGAGGAGAAAAAGGCATACGTGATAGCTCAAGGTCCGAAAGAAGTCCCGGAGATGACAGAGCCCAACAGCAGTCTCAACCTTATGACGGGGAGACAGGCCACGAAGGAGGACGACGACCCGAGAGAGTAACTCTTTGTGCTTAAGTTGCAAGTGAAGACCAGTTTGGTTGATGCCATAGTTGATCCGGGCAGCGAGAAGAATTTGATATCCGAGGTCTTGGTTCAGAAGCTGGGTCTGAAGACGGTCAAGCATCCGAAGCCCTATCCATTGAGGTGGATTCAGAAGGAGAAGAGACTGAGTGTAGTTGATCAATGCACTGTCAGATTTGCGCTCCATGAGTCGTATATTGACGAGGTCACGTGCAACGTAGTCCCATTGGATGTTTGTCAGATTATACTGGGCAATCCGTACTTATGGGATAGATATACGATCTACGAGAGGCGGGTTTAGAAGTATACATTCACCAAAGGCGGTGAAAAGTTCATATTTCGTCCGGCGTCTCTTCCGAGGGAGACAAGCTTGGGGACGGCGACGCGAGCGAAGATGCTAGTGAATGCAAGTAAGAAGTTTGTCTCACTGTGCATTAGACTTCTAGACAAGCCATCGAAAGAGGATTGCATGTTGGAGCGGAAGATGACTACGACAAGGTAAGGAGCGAAGGAGTCATTTCTAATTGTACGTCGCTATCAAGTTCCTAGCAAGGCCAGGTGGTGCAGAAAAGATAGAGGAGCTCGAGAGTTTCCTCAACTGAAGTTCTAACTTGAACGAGACTTCAAGTTCCTAAAGGGGGACCCATGATACGGGTGTATCTTCTCTTTGGAACTTAATGATCCTCATGGGAGCTTGAGGATAGATGATTCTCATGGTAGCTTAAGAATAGAGGTGTAAAACAACACAGTGAAACGCAGGTTGAAGCGTGAAATGAGACGGCGAATCGAAGAATTGAAGCATCCAGTTTTCAGCCCGTGAGTCGACTCATAATTTTGAGTTGACTCATCAGGTTGAGTCGACTCATAATTTTGAGTCGACTCATCAGGTTGAGTCGACTCATGCCTGTCATAAGTTGACTCACGAAACCCAGCCGTTTTTCACCAGTCTCTGACGAGTCGACTCATCTCAGTCATGATTCGACTCATTGCTGGTTTTGTGTTTTGTCCAGTTTCAGACGAATCGACACATCTCAGTCATGAGTCGACTCATTGAAGGTTTCCTGGTTCGTTTGGGTTTTTGTTTGCACGAATTCCTGTTGGGTTTGGGCTTGGTTATTTACCACTTTGCCATCCACGTTGTTACACCTATATAAGGGATTGTTTTGGGTTTGTAATCAATCAGATGTAATCAGAGTGAGATTCTAATCAAGAGAGATTAGGGTTTAGAGAGAATTGAGAGCTTGTTCTCGATTCTATTGAGATTGTGAGAGAGGGATTGTAATCTTTTCATACTCATAATCTAGAGAGGGTATTTTCCTTCGCCACATACTAAATTGTTCTTGTGTTTCTGTCATCCTCTTCTCAACCCACCTTTGATAATTCCGCGATCAAAGGTGCTCACACGGCGACTCGTATCAGAATATTCATACAGCATTGAGGATATATGTTGAGCTATGAAGGCTTAAAATGAAGGTATTGATATTTCAAAGAAAACACTAGACACTACCACATTTGAGGCCTATGGGGACGGTTGTGAACCGTCACACTAGGCATGGAAACCGTCACACTAGGTCTATGGGGACGGTTCAACATCGCTCCTAGTGCAACGATTTGTAAACCGTCCCCAATAGTACCATAAGGGAACGGTTGTGCTAAGGGGTCGGTTCTTAGTTTAGAGCAAGTGGAACGGTTGTATATCAAGGGGAACGGTTTTTAGGTTCTAAGCAACGGGAACGGTTTGATAGCAAGGGGAACGGTTTTTAGGTTCTAAGCAATGAGAACAGTTTGATAGCAAGGGGAACGGTTTCTATGGGGATGGTTTTTATACCAAGGGGGACGGTTTCGAGCTTGACCTAAGAGGACGGTTATATTGTCTATGGGAACAGTTTTGTTTGTGATCTATGAGGACGATTTTTATACCAAAGGGGTCGGTTTTCATTTTTTACTGATCAAAATAAATCACCCAAATATCACACATCAGTCCATCACATACAAAGAAACAATAGTCCAAGTTTTACACAAACTAACCAAACTTTAACCTTAATATAATGAACAATTCATTACAACGAAGAACAATATTATAGCAATAAGATTGAGATAATTCTTCACAAGTTTTACACACAAACTAACCAAATTAAGCACATATCACAAATCCTCCATGATTAAAACAAAGAGCTACTACTTAATCAAAAGGTCAAAATGTTTCTCTTGAGATGATTAAGTTCTAAATCTTCACAACAAATAAATCCCCCAAAGAGCGACAAGCATGGATCTTCAGATGTTTTCCTGCATACATCAAGATAAAAAGACGAGTAAGCACAAGTAGAATGAAATGGACTGTATGTGTCTCTTTAGAGTCATAACTTATTGCATGACGATCATATTTAGGTATATAATGAAATTAAGAGTAAGCACAAGTAGAATAGAAGAGACACGAATGATAGAAGGATAAAGGGCTGTCATAATTCCTAATTGTTTGAGACAAATCTGGCTCTACATGTGGACCACATCACACAACCAAATAATCCTCTAATAAAATCATGAAAGGAACAAAAGTTAAAACTTGCTGGATTAAAACTTACTATAGATTCTACAATTCAACGTTTGTTGCTGTAGCTATATTGCATTCTACCAGCAGAATGTGAATGTTTGATTATGGCAGGTCCAAAATTTTGTTTCCTTTACTTATAGAAATTTTGTATGTTGTTGCGTGGTATTTCAGCCTACGAGTCATCTTAGAGTTCTGGTCCCCGCAAAGCAAAGGCAAAAAAAAAAAAACAACCGAAAAAAAAAGGAAATTATAATAAGAGTACAAATCAACAGGCTTCAGGGTTGCAAAACATCTGTATGCATCTAACTTCAGTTTAGAATTCTGAAAACCTGAACATGAGTTGCCTACTACCAGAAGGATACAACTTTTATACTCTAAAACCAGGCTATTTTCAGGCTTAGCAAGAAATCATCTGCCTCAAAATCCAGAGGTTATGGGAAACCTCTCCACGCCTCTCAACTTAGCAAATTTTGTACTCCAAAGGGCTAAAAACCTGTACAAGTGCAAATGCTTGATCATATATATCAAGAAAGTGTCACATCTTTGTTGATCATTCTCAATCCTATAGCCTCCTTAGCTGAGACCCAGAAATTTCTCAGAAATCAGTTTTACTGGTTGACCAGCTCCATTTCTTTGAGGTCCCAAAAGGAAGTTTCCTATGCAAAAATAGATAGGGAGAACATGGACATGAAAGTCCTTTTCATCTTTCTGTACGTGGCCACTAGCTAGTTATCTCTCAAGTTAGGAAAAGTTAAGACTCTAAAGCCTACTTATCGGTATCATTAATAATTAACTAATATTCTTTTATCTCTAGAACTGTATTTGATAATTCAAGAGGCGGGTAAGGTTTCAAGCTGACAAATTTGAGACTGTTATGGATACCAAAATTGGTGGTGACAAAATGATTTCAGAACAAATCTTGTGTATGGTATGTAATTTTCTATTAGTTTTCGATGGTGACATAATATGGCTGGCCGCCTCTGAAGTCCGAATCTATCAAATGTGATAAATGTTCATCGAAGATAAAGTATGTTCACCGTGAATGTTTGCATCGCTATTTTGTATGCTGTAGCTATCCATTGGTTTCCATTACTTATATAAATAAGCAGTATAGTTAATAATGCAAACGTGAATTATAACTTTACTACATACAAACAATTGAATACAATTACCAGAATATCCATAAAAATTCCTGGTTAAACCCAATGTACTGAGTCAATATGCATCACTCTTTCAAGTCAAACCTTTCAAGTCAAACCTTCTATGGATCCGTACAAAACATGTTTCTCATTATGAAGAACCTGAAGCGCAATGGAGAATTCATAAGATCTGATTATCATATAGAAGTCTATATAAAAGCCCCAAAACAAGTAGAACAAATTATAAACAAGTGCACAGAATAATTGAATTAAGGATATATTGAATAGAAACAACTGGGCATTACCTTTTGACCACTAGAGGGTATCACTCTGTGCAAACCAAAGAATTTAGTTTCAAGTGTATTCTCATATGTGCGCACATGATGGTGATAGTTTGGAAGCATCCGCAAAAGCACCTACATATTTAAACTAAGTTACACTCTGTTGGCTGCTAATTAAAATTTTGATCAATAAAATCATGAGCATGCTTTGAGCCATATACTGTTTAGAGAAATTAATTGATTGGCTATGAAATGTGCAGAAACAAAAAATTAATGCTGAAACAACTGATGAGCAAGGTAACTCAATTCTTTAATGCTGAAACTACCACTAGTAATATCGTTGGCAGAGAATGATTCAAAGTCTGGTGATGAAGGTGGCAGTTCCTCAGTGAGTAATCAAAATGAACATGTAGAATTTTCAGAAAATAAAGAGAATTCTATAGTGGAGGAAGTTCGATGTCAGGGAAACAGTGCCTCAAAGAGGGGAAGTCTGAAAAATCTGAAGAGGTAGCCATTGATTCAATGCTGAACAACGATCAAAATAATCCAGATTTATCAACAAACCAAACTCCTAGTGAGGCAGCTGCATCTCATGAAGATAGTGCCTCAAATGTCAAAAACATTAGTAAAAATGTTAAAAGTCGGAAAAGGCAAAACTAGAGTCCAAGGATGAGACTCCTAGTGAAGCGACTACATTTAATGAAAACAGTGCATCAAATGATGAAAATGCTAGTAAAAATTATGAAGTTGTGATGACAGAAGCAGAGTCCGGAAAAGGCAAAACTAGAGTCCAAGGATGAGACTCCTAGTGAAGCGACTACATTTAATGAAAACAGTGCATCAAATGATGAAAATGCTAGTAAAAATTATGAAGTTGTGATGACAGAAGCAGAGTCCAAAGATGAAACAACCTCTGATTCGGTCAACATTGATCAAGAAGGCAGTACCGGCTCAGAATCGTCGAACCCTAACTCTGTATAAGATACGAAGAAATCAGCTAAACTATAATATGCGTTGCATCCTTTTAGGAAGGGTAAAACTACTCTGTATAATCGTCGAAACGTTTGTACACAGTCAGTTATTTGATTAATAAAGTTCTGAAGTCTAATTAAAAGCTAATTAGTGTGTACCTGTACATGTACACATCCTTGTCAAGGCTAAGCTCCCTCCTGGACAAGAAGCAAAATTTCAAAATCCCCCCTCCGACAAGCCCCAAATTACTGATGCCAGGGCTCTCAGTGACAAAAGATCTATCATTTTGAACAGAATAACATGTACAATCCAGTGAACTCCTCTTCAATCCTCACCTAACAACCACCAAACACCAGCAAATACTCAAATTTAGGGGAAAATTAGACATTGTAACAATTAACTAAACAATTTTATCGAAAATTTACACTAAATGCAGGATATTCCAAAACTAGGGTTCAAGATGTCTCCAAATTCATACGCTGCGACATATAATCAAGAAAATCAAAGGGATTCATCGCAGAAACCCTAGAAAATTGATAAAATGCTCAATATAGAGGCTTAATTGCTAAATATACTCAAAATCGAAGTAAAGAAATGCAACAGCTGAGCAAAGAATATACAAGGGAAATAGGAGGAGAAAATGAGATCAATACCTTTTTTCTGAGTCGTGTGGAGGTCTCGGCGGCGGTCCTCGAAGACGGCGAGGTCGTGAGGGGAGGCAGTGGACAACGGCGAATTGAGGAGAGGTGGCTGACAAGGTTGGGATGGTCGGCGAACAAGCGGAGGTGTCGAATGAGGGGAAGTGAAGGAGCCAAGGGGAGGAGGGAAACGCGAGGTGGAGATCGTCGAGGACGAGTATGAGTGAAGGAGAGGCGGCAGGCTTTGCTCCGTCGAGGAGAGCTGGAGGACGAAAAAGAGTTCGACACGAGAAAAACCCTAGAGCGGTGATTTGTTTTGATGGGGGTGAAAGTGTGGTGCTCGTTCTAAAAACCAAAACTGAAAATTGGGGACCGTCCCTTTAGCCCATTACATAATTTATTAGAAAAACTAATTCAACCCCAACGTTTTATTTTAAAGCGTTGTCTTAGACTCTATTGTGACGGGTGGAACCGTCACAAAACCGTTTCCTTAGACAGCTAAGGGGACGGTTTTAAACCGTCCCCAAATAACCGTCCCCGTATACTTATTTTGTGATAGTGAGACTTCGATTTTGACAAATCGGGGAACAATCTCCATATTAATGCAGTGTACAAGTTGATTCTTGAGGAGGATAATGAGTCAAAATGTCTATCTAAGAAGATGGATTCCCTAAATCATGACGATGAGATCATTGCAGGCACTGTGATGACTAACATTTTCCTAGAGGCGGGCACACATGATGACATTCCTCATCAAGCTCATCTTTTGGCTACTCTACTTCACGCCAGTGTCACAGTCAATCTTTCAAGGTTGTTGTGCTACAATCTCACTCACATTTTATCCTCTGTGCAATCAGTCATATTCAGTTATTTGTTCACAGATCTCCTCATAGCAATGCAGTTCTCTTTTGATGGCATCCTTGTAGTCCCCGATCAGATGGGCTTAACTGGCAGCTGGCTTACATTAGTCTTAGGGATGCTTAACTTGGAGACATTCCTCAGGCGGTTGATCCTCTTTCTCCTTCATCTCAAACTCCCAAGGTTGAGCCCCACCCCCCCCCCCCCCCCCCCCCCGCCTGATTGTTCCTGAAACTCTCATGAGTGTTGACACATTTCTCAACCTGCATTTAGGACAGTTTCTCTCAGGGTTGAGGTATAACAATCATCAGGGTCGGTGCATCAAGCTGGGATAGAAGCAATTCACAATATCACTCTCAGAGTTATTCGGATGCTTGTTAGGTTGTCAATGATATGGCTATCTCAATGCCGTCTGTCGTACTTCTGACTGTGGCCTAGCAACTTAGCTACTATACGGTTGTTGAAGCCTTCACTGGTGCACATAGAGCTTCTTCGTCTCGGTGGCCATGCAGTTTTTCATAGGACGAGTATGAGCATGCACACTCCATATAGATATCTACGACAACTCTCTTTCGGTCTTTGCAATAGTATCGTTTTATTTCCTTGTTGCGTTGAGTTATATTTGAACTCTTGTTTTTCCATTATCAAGTTGGCTTTCCTCTAGCGTCCATGTAAAGAGGTAGTCTAATTTCCTTTTGCATTATGCATACTCTTTCATTTCACATGCATATATTCCAATGTGATATTGGTTTGATGTGATTGTGTTACAAGCTCGAGATACTTATGTGCACAAGATACGAATAGGAACAATTTTGTGCTAATTGAAAATAATAATAATTAATAGAATGAAAGATACCATAACTTAGCGCTTGGCGACTAAATAACTTAGCGCTTGGCGACTAAATAACTTAGCGCTTGGCGGCTAATGATTACGTGGGAGTGGTTTGGTCGTCATAAAGATAATGCCAAATTTTTTACTTTACAAAACTTTCCTCGAAATTCTAATATAACATATCAAACAATTTCACTCCAAACTATGGTTTGGACAAAAATTTATTTTTCTTGAATATATACTTTTTCTCATGAAAATATTTAAAAAGTTTAATTTTTCAACAATCTTAAACACAAGGTCTATACAATTTTGAAACCTTCACTTTGATGCCACTATTGAAATATGATTTGGAATACATAAGGTTGTTAATTAAATTCAAAATTTAGAATTTTAATTAATGTTTCCAAACAACGAATTGGATTTGAGAATTCCAGAACTAGAATTATAATGATTCCTAGAAATTGGAATTGGAAATGAAACTACAAATTAAAAGTTCTAGAATTGAATTCCAGAATTTGAAATCAAATCCTTGAATCCAAATGTGAATTTATGGAATTTGTGGGAAACAAATTAGGGGGTTAGTCAGAAAAATAGTCTTACATTTTTCGATTCTTTTCGTAAAATTTAACCTTTTCTTTTTTGTTTTTTTCTATATAACAACAAAGGGGAAGCCCCTTAAACAAAAAAATGTAAATATCAAGAAACCATCATAAGATCAAATCATCCAAGGTAATTTCTTGCCTACAATGTCTTGATAAATGAGCATACAAAGCCCCTCTTACTATCTCCTTCAGAACAACATGCATGACTAAGATCCCAATCGATTCTCAACTTTCTGATAAAGTCCAGTGCTTGGATTGTTTCCTTATACATGTGTTGTATTATAGCTTATCTTGACATTCTGAAAAGTTCTAGGTTATGGAATTATAGCATGGTGAGGATTATCACCTATAGTATATTGAATAACATCTATTTCCTTCTCAGAGTTTATTTCCATCACAATTTATAGTCAACATCGCTCCTATGTCAATCAAGTCCACAAGGAATAACCTACAGTTCCTGAGTCAAAGTTCATCAGTAATGCTAAAAAATCTATGAAGCCAACAACCCTAGCCCCTTTATCATGCTTCCTAGCCCCTTTTTCATCTTGAAGCAAGGTCTTGACCCCAATCACACTGGTGAGATGGATCTGACCTTGATGCGCCATCTGTATTAAGTTTAACTCATTCTACTGGAGGAGGTTCTCAGTATGTTAAAGTGAGAGAGAGAGAGAGAGAGAGAGAGAGAGAGAGCTGTATTAAGTTTAATTCATTCTACTTGAGGAGGTTCTCAGTATGTTAAAGTGAGAGAGAGAGAGAGAGAGAGAGAGAGAGAGAGAGAGAGAGAGAGAGAGAGAGAGAGAGTATTGGGTAAATTTTCTTTGAATTGAATATTGAGTGCGTACATATATATACAAGTAGAGGAGGGTGAGGTTTGTCCTCATAACCAATGTGGGACTAAACCCACTACTAACACAATATTATCAACAGCCCCCTCAAACTCATGTTGGATCAAACAAAGTGAGTTTGTGTATAAGAAACTAAAATCAATGAACGGGGGTAAGACTTTTGTGAAGAAATATGCAAGCTTGTCAGCGAATGAGACACGAGGAAGTAGAATTGTCTTGTCCTTAATAACTTGTTGACGGACAAAATGAGTGTCGATCTCAATATGTTTGGTCATCTCATGAAATACTGGATTATTAGCAATATGGATGGTACTCTTATTATCATAATAGAGAGAAGTTGGAATCGTAACAGAAATACCAAAATCACTAAGAAGATGACGAAGATGAATAATCTTTTTAGCTGTTATGGACATTACACAATACTCTGTCTCGATGCTGTAAAGAGCAAAAACATATTGTTTCTTACTCCGTTAGGAAATAAAAGAATCACCAAGAAATATACAATAACCTGTGGTAGACTTCATAGTAGTGGGATCACCAGCCCAATCAGCATTAGAATATGCACAAAGCTCTAACTTGGATGTAGCAAAAAACAGAAGAGAGCGAGTGCTAGTGCCTCAGAGATACCGAAGAATCCGTAATAAGGAAGCATAGTGTGCAGAATGTGGGGCACTAATAAATTAACTGACAATGGCAACAGCATGAGAGATATATGGTCGAGAGATGCACAGATAGACCAACTTGCTAATAAGATGTCGATATCGGGTAGGATCAGATAGACCAACAGTAGCACACCCCGCGGTCCCTGAGAAATTTTTAGACCAAGAAAATAGCGAAGAGAATCCAAGATCCTTCATGTGAAACTGTTGTTGTAATTGAGATTTTGTGAACTGTATACCAGCAGCATCATCACCTGTAATAATCATATCGTCTATATAAAGGAGTAATAAAACTCTGTCACGTGATGTAGTGTAAACAAACAGAGAAGCATCTTGATGACTCTCCATAAAGCTCACCTTGAGCACGACATCGCGAAAACACTCAAACCAAGCACGAGGTGCCTGCTTGAGACTATAAACAGCATGACGAAGGAGACATACGTGTCCCAGAGGAATATTAGACCCTGGAGGCGGTTGTATATATACCGTCTCAGTTAAAGAGCCATGGAGAAAAGCATTCTTGAATTCCATCTGGTATAAGGGCTAACGATGAGCAGCAGCTACCGCAAGTAGAGTACGAATGGTGGGCATCTGAGCAACAGGAGCAAATGTCTCCTCATAATCAATACCTTATTGATGAGTAAAACCTCAAGCCACTAAACAAATTTTTCGACATTCAATGGTGCCATCAGTATGATACTTGACCTTATAAAGCCATTTACTGCCAACAAGATAGATCCCAGGGGGATAGGAAACAACATCTCAGATATGTGTTTACTAAAAGGCCTGAAATTCCTCAGCCATAGCCTGTCACCACTCTAGAAATTGAACTGTCTTTTAAAAGAACTTTGGCTCAATGGTAGTATGAATAGCAGCAAAAAAGTTATTGAAGATGGGTGAATAGGAAGTAACTAAAGCATACCAGACATGCATTACATGTGGGTGTTTGTCTCGACAAAGAGCAAGAGGAACCTCAGGTGGGATAGATGCTAGCACAGGTGTGTGGAGATCAATAGTATTTTTTGGAGTGAGTGTCATGCCCACGGGATAAGGATCAGATAGTGTAAGAGAATGCCCGGGTGAGGAAGAGTCAACAGAAGGAGATGGAGAGATGTTAGGGAGATCTCAAAAGGAAAACTAAGGCGAAGAAGTGGGTGATGCAGTTGACGGGGAAGCATGATTAGTAGAGGGGGAGAAATTGAAATCATCAGAAGCAGAATAATATGGAGAATCCTCTTCGAACTGAACGTACCTGTAGGCGTATAAAACTGCTTATAGGTCCCTTAACACAGCTCGGCACGGTGATTCGACGAACCAATGAACTATCGGGCGACGTATCCAAACACGATCGCTAGACCACAGCATCGAAGCCAAGTGACACGTAACGAAGCGGATTAACGAGGCGACGATGTTAACGAATCGCACGTAAGCAATGGAATACATCCATTCGCGTGCGGAATCAAACCAACGGTTTGGGGAGTCAACGAGTCATCCAACCATAGAACGGATTCGAACTCAGACGAATCGAGATCGAATCGAGATCAGTTTCGG